ATTCTACCAAACAGAGGGGTCTTTACTGCCAAATCGTATCCAGTGGCTGCCTGCTGAAACACCCTGTTCTACACTGCACAGTGTCAGAGAGACACTCAGTATCGGCACAACGTGTGTTTTTGACAGAACGGAAGGATGGGAGTTGAGGTTAGGGGCCGTTATTGTTGGCCTGTTATATTGTGGTTCTGGAGCCGCCTGGGGTTCGAAAGTTTACCCACTTTTATTCATGGCAGTATTAGTATGTAGGGAGATGATGGGCGCCAGGCAAAGGCGAGGTAAACACCACCTCTACAGGCATTTGCTGTAGGAATAATTTTACATGTATTAAACAGTGGATTATAAGATATTTTCCCTCAACACGTGCAAGCTGAATTAATCCAATTGATTAGGGGACTAGTTTTATCACTTTCAGCAAACAAGGACATACGGTGTGGTGTGAGGTTGAGTGGTTTAGGTCATGGGTTCAAATCCCATGGTCAGCTGAGTGATGTGACTACTGGGCACTTGATCAAGGCCATTAACCCCAAATACTCCAGGGACTGTCTGACTCTGCCTTCTCAATTGTATGTTCCTTTGGCATTCGCCAAATAATGTAAATACAACTGCTGGCTGAACCAGACTCAAACACATACCTGCTGCCAATAATGATCAACCAGATACTGGTTTTGCTTGTCACTGCATTCACTTTTCCAGTAAAAATTATGTTTGATTTCGTCTCTATAATGACCGTTTTTCCAGCCCCTTATCGCCAAGAGGGCCATGTGGGAGATGAAGATTCTGCATAATTCATTTAGCTGCCTTTGGAATTGTGTTTAACCAGGCAACCTCACTCCATTCCCGGTTCTGGGCACAGTTGTAAATGCTGGAGTTAGATACAACAAGCAGGATTTAAAGTGTCTCGGAAGACAAACTGATGGAGATATAATTGTAAATACACAGTCACAACTGTTAGCACCCAATATCCCCAGAAGCCATAGTCCAGATGACATAGGAAGAGCTAAGGATTTGCAGGAAACAGCTCTGTCACAACAGCAGTGTTGAAATATCACTGCAGGATGAGGAGTCCGAAACAGGAGAGGATGTCACATGACCAGCAAGGAATGTTTTCTGATATTTGCAGCCATAACTTTTGTGAGATTGCGTAAAGCAGTTCATTAGCAATGAAAATGCAAAGTATTAGTCCTGCCACATTAGTTTTCAAGGTTTTATCTCAACACATTTACACAGGTATTATACATGCTATGCATTTTAAATATAAAGGTAAAAATGCAAAAATATGAATATTCTTTTTTTTGCTTATGCAAATGTGTCCACAACACAAAGTTACAAAAAGACACAATAAAAAAATAACTTCTGAGTGTAAAAAAAAGCCTGAAATGAGGTTTTGTTTTGTGTTGTTTGTGTTGTTTCTTGTCCAGTCACTGGTTTATAGCATGACAGGGTGGAGTATTACATTTTTTTAAGCTTAGGTGTGAAGTTGGCAGGAGCATCTATTTCCTGCTTTAGATCATTTCAGAATCACAACATTCCCCTAATGTCATAATCGCAGACCATGCATGAGAAGAGCGGGCAGAAATCACTTTTGTTTGGTTTGTCTGAGCTTCTCGTTCTCAGTGGACCGTAACATAGTGTTTCATTTCACTCTTTCATACAGGACTGGTAGGAATCAGCACTGTGACCCCCCCCCCACCCCCAACCCACTCCCACCCCCCCAACCCACTCCCACCCCACAGGGCCACAGAAAGATCATCATAGTCTGGGAATCAGTTTACTTTATTTCCCTAAATATTAGTCCATATTGTAAGAATACTGCATCCGTAGATGTTTAAAGGGGTGAATGTGATCTGGTTTCATTCTCTGTTTGCCCACAGCTGTTGAGTGTCAATCTGGTTTCATTAAAAATTCAGTGGTATGCAATTTACTGATCAGGTTCCATGAATGCTGGGAAATCTTACAGTCTTCTTGAAAGGCGATTGGCCAGCCTTAATGCTATCTTTGTCTCTCATCCTCTTTATATTTCTGGTCTGTCATATTCCCATGCATAAACAAACATGTGTCTCACAGTAAGTGAATAAGATCGAAACAGCTCACAGGCCGCTCAAATGACTGATTCCTGTAGAGCCCGGTGATGTATTTCACACGTCTCATCTCATCCCTGGACGTGCACATGCCTTGCAGTTTTGTTCAGAGCTGTGGGAAATGTTGACACTGTTGAGAAAAAACTAAATCAAAACAAAAGACGTGGTTATTTCTCATACTATCAATAGGGCTACTTTTGCACCTTGCATTTCCTCATACAGCACACGGAATGTTTTGAAGAAGAAAAATACCTCTACTCTCCACTCTAGAATACCTCTTAGGCTGTTTCATCTGGGCTCTGTTTCCCCGTCTTGCGAGGTACCTGACAAACCACCCATTTTGTTTGCAATGCATCTGTCAGCCAAGGTAGAGGCGGACCCTTTAAAGTCCTGCTGTTTTGGCTGGTCAGTAGCTAATGTTTGGTGGTGTGGTGATGCCAAATGAGGATATCCTGCCCTCTCAAATTCATAAACACATGGTTTGTCTCTCTCCATCCATCCGTCTTTTAACAGTTTATTCTGATCAGCGTCTTCTTCTTACATTTCTCAAAACAGATGTCTTATGATAAAAGACCATCCCCTAACCATGTGATACATATACACACGAATGCACACTTTGCTTGAATAACTTCAAGCGTAAAATAAGTGTGTGTTGCTATAACAAAGCCAAAGAATGTGATTGAATGTGATTAGGTCCAACATGAGGCTGACATCAGCATGGACAATCAGGAGACGCTGATTTAAATAACAGTTCCGTTTTTCCTCCCTCTCAGTCGGATACTGAAGAGCAAATGGATGGACGTGAGGGTCCCCAAGGACCAGCTTGGGAAACACTGCCATAGGCTATAATAATAATAATAATAATAATAATAATAATAATCAATACTTTATTGATCCCCGTAGGGAAATTGTCCCTCAACATGCTCTTTGTAGAGTAAGCTGTCCGCGAAGGGCAGCCACCTGTAATATAATATAATATAATATAATATAATATAATATAATATAATATAATAATATAGCCGATGAATTAATCCACCCCAGTACTTCAAAATAAAGTTTTTTCCAATTATTTAATTAGTGGACCTCTTCAGTGCTGCATGCAAGATGCCTCTTTGAAAATTATCTTCAGTGGATTAACAAGTATTTGAGTAGGTGACACCAAATAAAGTCACTGTATACTTTAGGACCATGACAGCAAATTAAAAGATCATGTGTCATGTAACACTATGATATGTGAATTAGAGCTTTAAATTCATAGGAAATACCCAGAGGGAAGAATCTAGCTGTGGGGGGAGGGGCATAGCCTGGGATAAAGCGGGTCATGTTTTAGAAAGGAGGTCATGACCTTTGACCTCATTACTGTGGGGATGTTATCCCAGACGGGGGACTCTGTTCGCGTGATTAGCATGGGGTTTTCTGCGTTGCGGGCAACCCAAATGTTAATTACAGGGACACGCTTGACTGTAGGTGCTGGGAAAATGCTTGGGGGACGGCAGCAGAGCATGAGAACGCGCTGAGGGTCACGCCCACCACACCGTGCCAGTAACGAGTGTCCCTGCAAGCCGGCACACGGCTGCTGCTGCGCGTGTCATCAGCACCTCCTCCTCGGCGTCTCCCTTTCTTTGACCCCTAGGGTTAAAGATTTACCACTGAGATGTTCCCACGGTTATGTAGCTGTGGCTGCCGCGGGTAGCTCGCCGTGCCCCGCGGGATCATGGGCGTGTGACATGTGCAGCCCGCCTGCAGGTGCAGAAACTACGCTGTGCGAAACCAGACGAGAAACAACATGACAAGGGATTTGGCTTTTCTGAAAAGTTTAATGATGCCTAAAAGCCACAATGTGCTTTTTTTCTTCTTTTTTAAAAAAATAACATTAGCTTAGATGGTTAGCTGACGGCTTCTTGCGGTTTCATCCGTTCTAACATCTGGTTTGATTCAGGGAAAGTACCTTGTTCAAAGACATTTAAACTGGTTCCGTCCTGGGCTCTTAACGAACAGCATTCAGCTTACTCTGACATTGGATACAATGCCACGTTCTTCCCTAAAATATAAACCCATTTTTTTTTCTTTTAAACATCTCTGATTTACACAAAACCAGTTTTTTTAAAGAAGCATTGTAAGACAAAAATTCTGCAGTTGTTCATCTAGTCTACAGTCTAATTATAGCCTGTGTGTAGGGGAGGACAAATGAACTGCCTGTAAACTGCACTCTAGAACTCATATAACTGACATTTCAAGAATGATACAAATCTGCATAGTGGATGTGGTAAATTCAAATAAGCGGAGCCTGTCCTTCAGTATGCCATTCAGATCACTGTTCTAAGTCTTTGGAAGTTAATGAATCATGTGACTTTGATACTTCATACCAAGGTTCAACACAAATTCTATACTTCATAGTGATGTTGTAAAAAAGTATTCTGTCTAAATATTTCCTTCATTCATTTCCCATTTATCTTCTGCAGCTTGAACTGTTGATCTTTTCCCCCACAATTTTTGAAAAGTATAAATGTTTTATTGAACGATTCATAATGTCTTAACAAACTGGTTAGTCACTTAAGTTAACTGCACCTAGAGAGAATTTCCCTGAGACACTTTACCGAACCTCTGAAACATCAAACAAACATAAAACACCAACTTTATAGGAATCAACTGAGTTGTACATTAGGCAAGACCTTGCAAGAAAAAAAATTAGTCAAGTGTGCCCAGGGCCGAAGGTGTGCTGTCCAGCCAGTCCCAAATTAACAATTTGTATTGAATAGCCAAATAACAGCTCAGCTTGATTTCAGACTGCAGTTTCTGCAGCACACGCACTAGCTGGGCCTTTCTCCGCGCTCCTTAGGGAATGCCTTAGGAGCACAGGCTGTGATTCCGCCTCCGCGGAAGGATCACGCCTCCGGCCGCGATCTGGGCACCGGCGCGCGTAGCGCACGCACTCATTCAGAAATCAGAGGCGCACGCGACAGCATCTCCGCGCGCTCTGCACCGGACCGCTGCTGTCAAACGCGATCGCATTTTTGGATCTATTTGTTGAATGAAAGTTATTTTTTCTCTACCATTGGAAGAAAGGGAACGTTGGATCTATGCTAACCATACGTGGAATTATACGAGGTCTGTAAAGCAGAAGAGAAGGAATGCATCGTTTCTTTGTGAAACTAACTTTGTTTTTGTCATCGATCGCTTTAACACGAGGTAAGTTGTCGGCGTTGGTGGGGATGCAGTTTTTTACAACAGCATTACTAATTGGCTTTTACTTTTTGCAAGTTGATTTCAGATTCCTAAATCAGTTTAAGCAGGCGTCTGTGATTTTCTTAACTTCCGATTTTAATCAAGCTGTTCATACTTGTGGTTTTCATCGAAATCACAGGAATTCAGCGAATTTTAAATATACGTCGAAGCACAGAGATGACACTTGTTGCTTTTTGGCAGATGGTGAAGAACATAATTTCAGAAATTTCATTTGAAAGTCAAGTCTCATAGCCAAGATAAGTTTGGCAGTAGATTAGAATGTAAATATATACTCGTTGACTGTCGCAGTCCTGTATAAAAAGTCGCATCTGGGATTTGCTAGTTATTTTGAGTTTTTTATGCAGGTAAGGCAAGTTTCCTGTGCTCACACTAATTTCACCCGAGACCGTTAGTTCTTGATGAATTCATTTTATAGGCTACTGTTTGTCATAACAGTGCGAGATGTCTGCCCGAATTTACTAAATTCGGCTCTGAACAAAACTGGGTTTCGTTCCAAAACGCGAGAATCCTTGTATTGCCACTCAAATGGTTTTTAATTAAAGGCATCAGGAATCTACAAGACAAAAAGTGTGTTTACGACCTCTTTTGGTCTGATCGTGTGTGAAAAATGGTTAATATAAGTACAGAAGGAGTCTGGCTACATATTGGAACAACAAAGTAGCGCAAGAAGTTTGGCTGGGAAAGCTGATATCGAAAGTAAATACTATAGCTCTTTGATTACATGGCGATGCTACACGTGATAAATGTATATACAGTATACCCTTAACACACACACACACACACATACACACACACACACACATATATATATGATGTTTGAAGATGCCTTGTTATGGGTGTTTTAGAGGTGAGGTGCACTGACTGTGAGTAAATGTTGATGAAGAGCTTTTACTTTGTGGGAAAGGAGTACAGGACGTTTTCAGTGCTGTAAACTAACTCTGATTGCGTCTGTTGGCAAATGTCACGGCTGTGCAGATGAGGTCTTGCGGTCAGAAGTTGCCTCTCGCTCTCAGCGCTGCGCAGCAAAGCTGAATAATGCGCACGACCTAATAATGCGGCTTTTATCCGCTCACGGCTTGCGAGAAATCACCCCTGTAAAGTTCACTTTCCAATTACGAGGGTGCTACTGTAAATTTTGAACGACCCATTTTGTCGCGTTATTGTAATTTTTATTTTTTTTTTGGGGGGGGGGGGGGTTCCCCTTGAGTCACAATAAGTCACCCGATTTGTGTGAAATACTTATCCATCGCGCATATAATCTCATCAACGCATGGTTATACCGGTGTGTAACTGCAGTTGTTTTATAGTCAATTTCTATACTAATAATTAAGCTGATGAATTATAAGAAATGTCTTGGCGGTGTGAGCATGGTCACGTGCCTGCCCCGTGCCCGTGCAGTGACCGGCTCGTGTTTGCAGGTATAAGATGCGCGCTGCCCGCTGAATCATGCCTCAACGGTGGGAGGTGTGAAGCATCCCGAGACGGAGACGGAGAATGCAAGTGAGTATGAACGCTCTGGGAGCTCGTTCCGCAGGGGATGGGGGCATGGAAATGGTCGGACCTAGTATATGTGTGGGCGGACCTTGGAGCCTGCTTTTTTGCCTAGTGTGTGTGTGTCTGTGTGTAACTATTACATTGTGGGGACCAGATTTCCCGACAATATGATAAAAACATGGGCGTGTCCCCTTCACATTTCATAATTGTTCGTTTGAACCCCCCCCCCCCACATTTAACATAAAATATTAGTTCACTTAGCGCTGTGTCCCCCCCACATTCAAAATGCTTCTGAAGCCCCTGGATAAAAACCTGTAACTTTTTATCTTGTGGGGACAATTTTTTCAAACTCAATTGCATAAAAATCTGTGACTGCAATCTGCAATAAAAAAAAAATAAAACTCATATTTCGTTTGGTTACTTATGGTTAAGGTTAGGTCTGAGTAGGGGTTAAGGTCATGTTAGGATTTGGGTTATGCTTGTAGAAATTAATACATGGACTGTGTGTGTGTGCATGTGTATGTATGCACGAGTGTTTATACACACACACTAGTCGTATATGTATGTGTGTTAATATTTATGTTTATTACATTTATTATGAATATATTTATATATATTAATTTATGCACCACACTTTTATCCAAAGTGACTTCCAGTAGAGGGAGGGATGTTTATGTGTGTGTGTTTGTTTATGTGATTTATATACACTTATAAGCTGTTAACACCTGTGTGTCTGTGTGTGTATGGTGGTCAGCCTCCAAGCTCACACATTCCTTCGGAGTGAGTATTGGATAGGGCTGGGCACAGATTATGGGGGTGGGCGGGGGGGGTCCCACCCTGCCTGTCCCTTGGCCTGCTGCTAATGAATGCGGGACGCTCCCCCAGCAGAGGTCCCAGGGATGCTCCAAGCTCTAAATCTTGTTTTTCTTTTCTTTTGCGGCCCAACAGCTGGGGTGCACACCGAGCCCGCTGGCTATTGTTGCCCGGTCAGATTAATGCTGTGTGACTAATCAGTGCGAGGCTTCCCAGAATGCACGCCTCTCTCTCTGGCCTGCCCCTGCCCCGGGCCTTTGTTCTGCCTTCGTCAGTGGCCATTCTCCGCGTGATTTATATTCCAGAGACAGATGGCAGTAAAGTGCGATTCCTTTGGATGTTGTTTTAATTGGAGGGAATTTTGAAAGTTGGGTGGGGAGGACTGTAAAAAAAAAAAGTACGCAAACAACTGAAACCTGATAAACTGCGACAGTTTGCCTGACATGTAGGCTTCAGATCTTGTTGCAGTTTTTACCTGCGCTTTCCTTTGAAGAGAGGAAGCGGTTACTGGCTGCAGTCTCTTACATGCAGCATCTCTGGCAGCCACCCTCATGCCGGCCATCATTTTAGGCGCCTCTGCCGTGACCCGGATGATGGGGGCTGGATTGGTCCTTGGTGCTGTAGGGCAGATTCTGAATCCAGTCAACCGCTTTGGCTGGGAGCCACGTCTTAATTCTGTCTGGTGGCCCTCCCCCACCCGAGCACAAAGCCCACATTGTGCGGGTCCGTTCACGAGTTCCTCTAATTAAACAGGGAGATGAGATGAGATCAGATGAGTGCCGAGATGGTCACGCCCCGCCGAATGGTCCCGCCTCTTTCGGTACTCTCTCCTCAGAAGCATGTGCCCTTTCCAACTTGTTTTTTCTGTCACAAACACGCACTGTTTCACACGTGTAGCGAAATGCTTTTGCCACCTGTTTTAAAGGGAAACACGCAATACAAGGAAAAATAGTATAAAAGTTAAGAATAAATGCGAATAAAATAACAGTAAAAGTAAAATAAAGTGAGACGATATAAATAAAAATTAGTGAAAAATAAAAACAATGAAACTTGAGGTGGGTGGTTAGAATTTGCTGGTCTGTTTTTACTTTATTAGTATCATTTCTGTCCTCTTTTAGAGTTTCAGTAAGAAAAGGTGTGAATTCACAGGAGCGTATCTGAGATACGTGCAATGTGAGAATTTCACTTTGATGTCAGTTCCATGACTCAATAGATGACACGTTATGTCACTGCCATTTTTAGTGACAGTTTAGTTCCAGCCACCATTAATCATGTTTTTTTCTTTACAACTTTTTGTAAGTGTTTAGAAAAGTCCATAACACTTCAGACTTCCTTGATTCAGGATTATAAGTCTAGAACTCACACAGATTGGGGCTCCTGTTTCTTCCTACAGGATGAGAGCTTTAGCCAAAAGGAATTCTGTAAACAGGAAAACTTCAGGAAAAGTCAGTCGTGTTTTGAGTTCAAGTCTTAAAATAGGATAATTATTTAAAAACCTTTTTCCTAAATGCTTGGACCCTTTATTATTACCCCACACCCCCCCCCCAACACCCCACATCTTATTGTTTTCTTGTTAAGCTTCTGAAGATCAGGCTGATATGTCGACAATCACTCGGCTTCTCACAAACGAGTCCGCGTGATTTTAATTTCCTGCCTCAACCGTATGAGCTTATTTCTGAAAATGATTACTATTTTGTAATGTGGGAAAGACTCGTGTGAAAATTCTGCACTTTCCGGAAGCTGCCATTGTTGGCTGTTAAGTGGCTGTAGTGGAAATAAGCGTGTTTCACAGAGCTGTGCTGGCTAGAGGCCTTCAAGAAGTTCCCAGCCCTCGCTGGCAGTGTAAGGGAGGTCGCGGGCGGACTTGTGTCCTTATTGATGTGTTTCTCTGAAATTTTAACTGTTGGCCAGGAGATTCATGTGAATGTCAATCTTGTTATTGTTGCTGCTGTTTTTTTGAAGTTACTGCTCATAATGGGATTGGGGGGGGGGGGGGGCTCAATGGACTCACAGGCAGATGTACAGACAGTCGGTACCATGAGATGCCACAGGGCGTATCAGTGACGATGTCGGGGTCCCAGGGGAACCTGTGTGCTGGAGGACCCCATAATCTCAATGTAAGCAGCATTCATCTGTGTTACTTGCCACGCAATTGCATTTCCTTTTTCTCTTTTTCTCACGGAGGTTCTCATTTTCATTGTGCCAAGACGCCTTTGAAGTGTGCGGTTTGTGAGCAGACAATCGGAACGTCGCCAGTTCAGATCCCTCAGTAGGACTGATTTTACTGTTGGGTCCGTAACCCTAACTGCTCCAGGGGCTGACTGACCCAGCTTTCTTGATTGTACATCAGTTTCGATAGAAGCGTCTGTAAAATGAATAACATAAATGATTATGTAAATGCCATTTAGCACCGTTACCACAGAATACTGTGTGAACTTTTTTGCTCATTTCCTGGAGGGTGGGGGGACTTTTTCCTTTTTTTGCTAGCAGCATTACAGTTGGCTTTAATTTTGGAGTCCAGTCAAGCCTCAGGTTCCTGAGGAGCGCGTTGGGGCTTGTGCTTTGGGCATCAGAGTTCCGAGGGGACAGCTGGCTGTTTTCGTCGGCCGTCCCCGGCTGGCAAACCTGTCTGCCCCCCACGCAGACACCACTCTGTGGGGAATTTTTTTTCGGCAGTTATTTTTGGTACAACCCCGTGAGAAATTTCTATGTTGCGTCAACTGCAGTAAAACCTACCGCACCAGAAATCATCATTTCGGAATGTACAGGGTTATGGCTATTAATGGTTTTAACTGCTACTACTGAGTACAATAAACAGCCGTCACTGCTGCTGTCATTTCCGGCACAGATTCCTCATCACATTAAGTTAGGTTTTTATTTATTTAGTTCTCAGCTGGATCTGTTGGCTCCGATAGAATGTCCCTGCATAAGCGTTAAATATTCAGGTTTTGGTGTATGTAATCATTAATTAGCAGAAGTTCTGGCCATCGAAACATCTTTGGGGCTGTGGTTTTGTACTGTGACACATTCACTTCTCCCTCTTCTGTGAAGCACTGAGGTTTAATCAGAGGCTTCATTCTTTTGTTCTGTTCCCGTCAGACATTGGCGTGCTAAGCATTTAGCTACGAGCTGTGCATTTATCATTTGCCCAGCGGTGTCTGTGGCACAGGTGGCCATCAAAAAGCCCTCCGACAATGGACCTCCAGGGATGCGGCCTGATTCCTGTGGCATCTCAGATGTTGTTGAGTTCCAGCAACAGTCCAGAGATTCCTTGAGTCGTTGGTCAACAGCCACGTGTATAAGAAGTGTAATTACTCCAGGGTTGCGGATGGGATTCGTGGTGCGGTTTAATGTTTCTCAGAATTCAGAAAGCTACCCTGCATGGTCAAATATGGAATTTATGTTTTTGTTATGCCAAGAAAGGGTTGGTGGCAGCCCTGGTTGAGATGAGAGCAGGTGCGCAGCTTCAGAGAGTCATCCAAAGGTCAAGTGTGCCGCCTGCTTTTATTAGGTACCTCCGGAGTACAATGGCTCTCCCTTGTCATGCCATAAGTACCATAACTGCTGAATTCTGCAGTGGGTAAGGTGGTAATCGCTTAGGTTGTAAATGTGGCCACACGTTTGGCGGGCTGACAGTAATAGAAGGCAGTGCAGGAAAACGTGCCAGTGATTTAAATTCCCCCCCAAGGCCAGAGGATTTCTGATTGGCCACAATTAAAGGGCCACGCCTCCAAGGGGCCTGATAAGAGACTCAAGGTTGGAGAGGGTGCTGAAAGTTCACATGCACCAGCGAAGCCTGGCTCACCTCGCTGGCCCGGCCTTCCCGACAGTCTGGCGATTATGGCGGACAACGGGGCCCCTTGTTCCTCGCAGCCCCGTGAAATCCGGCTTGAGAGTGAGATTTGGGAGCACAGTTTATCAGTAGCTGTGCTCGCTGACCGATATGGGTGGATTCCCTCATTTATCCCTTATTTACTTTCTTAATACCGCTGTGGAAAGATTGACGATGGCACTCAGAGAGTTGGCGCTAAAGAAGAGGGAAAACCCACGCCGATCTGGCGCTTGTTTTGAAGAAGAGCATTTTACAGTCTAGAGCAGGGGTGTCAAGCTCCAGTCCTGGGGGGCCGCAGCCCTGTGTAGCTTAGCTCTTTCCCTGTTCCACCACAAATGATTCAGCTCAAGAGCTGTGTTGT